TAGTGTCCCCTGGTCTCCCAGTTGTGTGCATCACTCTTTAGTGTCCCCTGGTCTCCCAGCTGTTTGCGTCACTCTTTAGTGTCCCCTGGTCTCCAGCTGTGTGCGTCACTCTTTAGTGTCCCCTGGTCTCCCAGCTGTGTGCGTCACTCTTTAGTGTCCCCTGGTCTCCCAGCTGTGTGCGTCACTCTTTAGTGTCCCCTGGTCTCCCGGCTGTGTGCGTCACTCTTTAGTGTCCCCTGGTCTCCCAGCTGTGTGCGTCACTCTTTAGTGTCCCCTGGTCTCCAGCTGTGTGCGTCACTTTTTTAGTGTCCCCTGGTCTCCCGGCTGTGTGCGTCACTCTTTAGTGTCCCCTGGTCTCCCGGCTGTGTGCGTCACTCTTTAGTGTCCCCTGGTCTCCCGGCTGTGTGCGTCACTCTTTAGTGTCCCCTGGTCTCCCGGCTGTGTGCGTCACTCTTTAGTGTCCCCTGGTCTCCCGGCTGTGTGCGTCACTCTTTAGTGTCCCCTGGTCTCCCGGCTGTGTGCGTCACTCTTTAGTGTCCCCTGGTCTCCGTTGTGTTTTGAGCTTCTTCAGCGTTTGGTTTCTGCAGCTTTTAGCATGTCTCCTCAAGTTGCTGAATGTTCTCTAAATGCTAAATGTGTTGCTGGAGATGTTTCTTCATGTGGAACATTTGTGTTTTTATATTTTCATAGTTTTTGAAGCTGGAAGAGTTTTAGGCGTGTTTGCACCTGTCAGTTATCGTAATTTGAAACACTCAACCCTGACATTTCAGAATAAGAGAGAGCACGGCCTGTCATTTAACGCGAGGTCTGGTCTGTTATTACCCAGATCACTGTGATCTGTTTGAAAGCCTTTAGTTTCCCCTCCGAGAGATCCTGATCGTGTTTATGTGATGGACGTGATGAGCTGACACAACTGTTTTTCACTTTTCCTGCAAACCACAGGAGAGTCTGTATGGAAGTTTAAATTGAAAAATAATTGTGTCGTGTGCAGTTACTGCCTCCTAGAAGATTCAATGTTATCAGCTAGGGCTGCAGGATTTAGAGGGAGTTTTTCTCTCACCCCCCATCAGCAGGAGAGGACTCTTTAAAGTAGAGACACTACATACTGATATACACCTGAACATCAGCAGGAGAGGACTCTTTAAAGTAGAGACACTACATACTGATATACACCTGAACATCAGCAGGAGAGGACTCTTTAAAGTAGAGACACTACATACTGATATACACCTGAACATCAGCAGGAGAGGACTCTTTAAAGTAGAGACACTACATACTGATATACACCTGAACATCAACAGGAGAGGACTCTTTAAAGTAGAGACACTACATACTGATATACACCTGAACATCATCAGGAGAGGACTCTTTAAAGTAGAGACACTACATACTGATATACACCTGAACATCAACAGGAGAGGACTCTTTAAAGTAGAGACACTACATAGTGATATACACCTGAACATCAGCAGGAGAGGACTCTTTAAAGTAGAGACACTAAATACTGATATTCACCTGAACATCAGCAGGAGAGGACTCTTTAAAGTAGAGACACTACATACTGATATACACCTGAACATCAGCAGGAGAGGACTCTTTAAAGTAGAGACACTACATACTGATATACACCTGAACATCAGCAGGAGAGGACTCTTTAAAGTAGAGACACTACATACTGATATACACCTGAACATCAGCAGGAGAGGACTCTTTAAAGTAGAGACACTACATACTGATATACACCTGAACATCAGCAGGAGAGGACTCTTTAAAGTAGAGACACTACATACTGATATACACCTGAACATCAGCAGGAGAGGACTCTTTAAAGTATAGTTTTGTTAGAGAGTCTGGAACATATCATTGTAATGTCCTCCACTTTAGAGTCGTGCCTTGAATCCTGTGCAGAACGCTTTCTACTTGCAGCAACACAGAAACATTTCACGACGGTTCCTCTGCCCTCGCGTCACCCCGCAGGATAAATGGATGTCCTTGTTATTTGAAACGCTCTTTCTCTTTCTTGTCATCGTCACTCTCTCCCTTTGGCTTCTGACTCATCGTCGCTTCCCTTTCTTCTCAGAGTCCTGCAAGAGAGAAAAGCCCAACGTCCTCTTTCCTTTCAGCAGCTGGTTCACAAACCACTCACATATTTTTGTAATATCTCAAAGACAGCTTTTCTCTGTGAACACAAAACCACCTTTCCTGATTGAACTGTCACTTGTTGTTATTCACCTGGTTTACTCTGAGTGTAATTCCCTTATGCCTCCTGTTTGAATGCAATAGTGTTCCTCTGGTTTGGTACCAGCAGGATTGTGAGATCTTTTGGGAACATTAACACCTCGGCAGCGATGGTTTGACAGAGCTGCATCCATCAGTGGCTGGATGACTAATACAAATGGCCTGATTTATACAGTATGGCCATCTGGGAAAATAAGCGTTTATTTATATATTTTAACCCCCTTGCTGTGAAACAGCTCTTTCTGACGGGGGTAATCAAGGCGGTCATTTTGCCTCTCAAGAAAATGATTATTACTGCTCTCCCGCTGCCTCTTTTAGTCCGTTAAATAATCCTTTTAAAGTCTGACAAACGCACAGCGGTGAACTAACAACCCCTGAGACGTCACATAACTTTCTTGTTCTTTAGGTCTGAATGTTTAATCTGGTTCGGACGCAGCAGCTAATGACGGGTCCTTGTAAACTGAGCGAGAGAGCAGCGCTCCTTATGAATAAGTCATAGCGCTCTCTGCTGTTTCTGTAACCCAAGTTCACGGCACTGGCATTCAAACTCCTGCTGAGCAGCACCAGAACTACAGCCTCTCATGTTCTGCCCTTCCCTCTGATGTACTGTGCCGCACGTCCTTATGAAATGCTAATGGAGTCAGGGTAGCTCTTTGTGGCAGAAACTCTGATGCATGAGAGTGTGTTTCAGATCTTAAATCAGTGCACAGACTAACGGTATCCACTTGGTTTTGTAATTTCTTCATTAAGCAACATTGCAAAACAACCTTTCATTCCAGCTTCTTAAATGTGAGGATTATGTATTTTACACAATTGTAAAATTAAATATCTTTAAGTTTTAAATGATCAGTCGGACATTAAGTCAGCTTAATGTGGGCTTTCTTATTTTACAATTGTGTAAAATAACTTTCTAGTATTTCATTGAGTGATCTGTAAGAGTTAAAGTATGTGTACAGTCTTTAGAGTCATTACTAAACAGCCGTTGGAAAGAGAAACTGTGCAATTGGAAAACCCGTAACGTCTATTCTTAGCAACGTGAACCGGTCTCCTCGTGACCTCCGTCCCTCTGGAAAAACCTCATTCCTTCTGCTTCAGTAAAGCCTGACAGTCTGCAGAGAGGGAAACACACGATGTGCAACTCAAACTCTCCCTCACTGAATAGAGTCCGTCATCACTGGTGGACCGTCCATGTTGACTTTAATATCCATCCCATTGAAATGCATTATGGCAAAAAGCCAGAAGGCAACACAAGTTTTAAAGTAAGACGCTTTTTATATTTTAAATTGGACATGCAAGTCGTTTGATCACATCATCTGTTCATGCTTTGTTATTTTATGGTCTTAATGTCACATGGTGAACTTAAAGAGGCCCTATTTAGCTTTTTCCCTCTCCTGTAGTGTTCTGTAGGTTTTAGTGCATGTAAATGGTCTGCAAAGGCTAACGTCCCTGTGTTCCCTCCAGAGTTTCTCTCCTACACAGAGTTGGTACTTAAATATATTTGGCTGATCATACTTGTGTACAAAGTCAAAGTCAAAGTCAGCTTTATTGTCAAAAATTCTACATGTGTTGTACATCCAGAAATCTCTAAATATCGTTTCCCGCAGTCCTACAGTGTGACATGTATACATAAAACAAAAAGGGCCTAGATAACCGGGGTATACAGTTTACTTGAGTAACATTTTGAATACAGGACTTTTACGAGTATTTCTACACTTTGGTTTTAAGAGTACTTCTCTTTCCCCACTGGTTCTGAGTTATATAAAGCACTGAGAATGAACATTACTCTTGTGTGTGTGGCAGGACATTTCCTCCCTCCACCGTGACCTTTGACCCCTGCCTTCCAGCTGTAAGAGAAGCTGCCAATGAGCTGTGCTGCATTCAGGGTCACAGCAGAGATAAGAAAAATGCTCCTGGTGTTTCTGTTCAATTTAATTCTTCCTTTTGTGTGGACAGCCGGCTGACCCTGCTGTAGTTCCTTTATAGCCCAACATTAGCCTCCTTTAGCTTAGCGGTGGTGACGTGAGGTCATGTGACCCTGCTGTAGTTCCTTTATAGCCCAACATTAGCCTCCTTTAGCTTAGCGGTGGTGACGTGAGGTCATGTGACCCTCCTGTAGTTCCTTTATAGCCCAACATTAGCCACCTTTAGCTTAGCGGTGGTGACGTGAAGTCATGTGACCGTGCTGTAGTTCCTTTATAGCCCAACATTAGCCTCCTTTAGCTTAGCGGTGGTGACGTGAGGTCATGTGACCGTGCTGTAGTTCCTTTATAGCCCAACATTAGCCACCTTTAGCTTAGCGGTGGTGACGTGAAGTCATGTGACCGTGCTGTAGTTCATTTATAGCCCAACATTAGCCACCTTTAGCTTAGCGGTGGTGACGTGAAGTCATGTGACCGTGCTGTAGTTCCTTTATAGCCCAACATTAGCCACCTTTAGCTTAGCGGTGGTGACGTGAAGGCATGTGACCCTCCTGTAGTTCCTTTATAGCCCAACATTAGCCACCTTTAGCTTAGCGGTGGTGACGTGAAGTCATGTGACCGTGCTGTAGTTCCTTTATAGCCCAACCTGTAAGTAGCATAAACGTTTGTTTGACACAGAGATTATTTACTGCAATAATCCCAAATCCCTTTGGTCCAGGGAGATTCAGGGTCCCCTGCAGAAATCATCATCCCTGTATTTTAAATTGCCCGCCCTTCTTTGCCTCATTTTGACAAAATCTAACATATATGTTCCCTCCACCCTTGCTCTGTGTGTCCCTGCAGGGGAAGATGGTGGACCGGCTAGCGAACAGCGAGGCGAACTCTAAACGCATCGGGGTGGTCGAGGGCTGCTTCGGCACGGCCGGCCAGCCGCTCGTCATCCCGGGCCGCGTGCTGATCGGCGAGGGCGTGCTCACCAAACTCTGCCGCAAGAAACCCAAGGCGCGTCAGTTCTTCCTCTTCAACGACATCCTGGTGTACGGCAACATCGTGATCCAGAAGAAGAAGTACAACAAGCAGCACATCATCCCGTTGGAGAGCGTCACCATCGACACGGTGCCCGACGAGGGAGACCTGCGGAACGGCTGGATCATCAAAACGCCCACCAAGTCCTTCGCCGTTTACGCCGCCACCGCCACCGAGAAGTCCGAGTGGATGAACCACATCGGGAAGTGCGTGGTGGATCTGCTGCAGAAGAGTGGGAAGGCGCCGACGGGCGAGCACGCGGCCGTCTGGATTCCCGACTCGGAGGCCACGGTGTGCATGCGCTGCCAGAAGGTTAAATTCACGCCCGTGAGTCGCCGCCATCACTGCAGGAAATGCGGCTACGTGGTTTGCGGCCCGTGCTCCGATAAGAAGTACCTGCTGCCCAGCCAGTCCTCCAAACCCGTGCGAGTGTGTGAGTTCTGCTTCGGGCAGCTGACGGCGGGAGGCCTGGCGCCGAGAGCGGACTCCATCAGCCGGCTGGGGTCAAAGTTCAACAACATGTCGGACGACGATGACGACGACGACAGCAGCGACTGAGGAAATAAAACGTCCGTCTGAGGATCGTCCATTCAAACCAAAATATTTTATTGCTTTTCCCCTCTGATTCCAGCAAGGATGAATACTGAACAGTGATTTAATGAAATGTGGAATTATTCGGGGGAAAGTCTGACTTTTCTTCTCTTCCACTTATGACTCTTAATTAGTCACTACAGAAAACAGTGGAGGCCTTTTGCATTAACTTCATCCAGGGGGGCGGGGCTTATTTCTTCCCACTCTCTTTTTAACCGTACGTCCATGAACACAGATGATATCTCTGCGGGGAGAAAAGTCTGTTCGCCCCTCTCTTCACCAAACAGGGCTGTTTTCTAAGTTTTTTATTAACAAAAATGTAGATATCACGCTAAACAAGCTTTTTCTAGTCGACCTAAATGTCGTTCCTGAGAAATATTGTCTTCCATTTAGAGCAGGGATTATTCCTTTCCTAAACTCCTTCCTGTTGGGGCTTCCTGACCTTTAGCTCCTCTGCTCCTGAGAGAGGCTTGGTGTTTTTCTGGGGCTCCTTTTTTTTTAATCAATTACACATTGTAGATATCACGCTAAAAGAGCTTGTGATTAAACAATGACAAAAGTCTGACTTTTCGGCTCACTTGATTGGTCACCATAGTGCTGATGAAGCATCCCTCCTCTTCCTCTCATGTTAATCCATCTTGTTTTAATTGTACGTCCATTACCTCCTGCAGGGAAAAGCTACATGGTTTTGTTCTCTGTCCTTTTCTCTCGGGCTGTTTTTTCTAATATAAATGTGTTTTTCTGCTATTTTGTGAACCCTATTTTTATCAGTCACAAACTAAATCCTACTCTAATCCCAAAGCTTTTTCTAGTCGACCTAAATGTAGTTGCTTCTGACAAATCATCTCGTCTAACACTTTAGTGAGTTTCCTCTCAGCGGTCTTTGAAAAGGATCTCTGCCTTCGCCCTCACGTAGTGCCTTGCAGGGAATGGAGGAAATCAGTCGAATGAAGCAACGCTGCTCAAAGACCAGAGACTCGATGACACCCTGACTCTGAAACGCATCACGGAGTTATCAATGTGTGTGTGTGTGTGTGTGTGTGTGTTTGCAGCACACACAGAGCAGGTCACACACACCAGCCGACAACGGGAAGAGTTACATTTTGATTTTTCCTCGAAAGTTTTGTTTTCTGCCGGACAAAGACTCTTGAAACATCCATCGATCACAGACTCCCAAATTAAAATATGATTTAAATCCAGGCTTTGATTTTGAGGCATCTAACGACCTGTAATCTGGAGGTTCTTTAGGCATTTTATGTACATTTAACAACCTGTAATGTCGATTTGTTTTTGTTCACAACCTGAGCGTGTTTCCTGCTTTGTGTCTTAAGGACCAGAAGAGTCTTTGAAAAGGATCAATGTTTGTTGGCAGGCTGTGCACGGATATAACTGCAGCTGTAGCGGTCGGTACTGAAACTGTAGCCTCATTATGATTTATTTTACATTTATTAAAGCACACAAATCTTCCTTTAAAAGAAATGCAATACAACCCTGATCAGTGGAAGGTAAATAAGTTGGAGTTATTAAACGTTGATGTGTATTTAATTTGATGTTTCACAGTGCGGAGCGACGACGGCGTATTAAAGTCACTGTAGGTCTAATCAACTTTATTCTCGTTTGTTAGCTTCAATTTGTGAGTTTTTTTCTCCTCAATCTAAAATTAAAATGTCTGAAAATATCAAAGCTTTTTATCCTAGAAACAAACAATGTTTGTTGAGATGATTCCTTTGAATAACCCCGCCCTTCCACCGTTTTGTTTACAATTTCAATATTAAATATCAGATTTGTTACGAGTTAAACCCCTCCCTCATTTAATGTATTAATGTAATTTCTCAAAATACCTGATAACCTTTTGAGGAAATTCAAGTTTCAATTTTTTTTTAATCTCAGAAAATCTCAAAATTCAAGAAGAAAATCTAGTTTCTGACTCAAAATATATGCAGTATTTTCCTCTTAAATTCACTGCTTCAATGACGGATTAAGTCGCTTTTTGTGTGTAAATTGACCTTTTTAATCTCAGACAAAACGCTATTTTATAACGTGTAAAATGAAGACGTTAATCTTGAGGTGCTCTTTACTTATTTACATATTTATTTTTACAAAAAGTGAAAAATAATGAATTATTTTTGAGGGAAATATTACTTTTTTTTTATAAATTTGAGTTTTTTTATCACATTAATTTACCATTTAATTCTCTAATATCAAATATTTCTACTTTCATATTTTCCTCTGCTTTGTTATAATTATTTTAATATGTTGTTGGACCTACATTGACCCTGATACGCCGCCGTTCTGTTTTGAATCACTTCGATAATCAGGAAGTGTTCGCCCTGCTTGTGTTTCCTGATCACATGATCTGCTGTTGCGTCATATGGTCATGACTCGACACATGGCCGTCCCCTGCTCCTGCAGCACTGATCATGTGACCTGTGTCATGTGACCTCAGTTCTGAGATCAGGCTCTCAAATTCTGTACAAAATCAGTCTTTTTTTACTTTATTGTACAAGATTAATTTACAAACCTTTTTAAAAAGATTAATTCAGCAGTCAAAAGTAAACTTGAATTTAAAGTTAATAATAAATCAGATTAATATTTGTGATATTAATCTATGTTCTCTCCAGCAATATACATTGCTCTCTGTCTCAGTTTCTAGTTTCTAAACAGCGTCCAGGAGTTCAGTCGAATTGGGTCGAACAGGATCCTGTTGTATTTCTTTAAATCCCAAGTAACCGAATAGTTTGCAGGTTAATCCATGACCCCCACATTATCTCCCAGACTGCAGGACATGTTTCGGAGCCTCTTCCCTGGAGACACAACAGAGGTTTGTTTACATCGAAACAAGCACAGAAATGTCTCCGTATGCAAACGCCTCGGGAGCAGAAAGGGATTCTCTTTGTCGTTAGACTTCTAGAGATGTAATGTCTGTGTTGCTGCAGTCATTTGATGATCCACTAACCAGCTGTGCTTTCTGTGCACTAAACACGGTAACATCGACTTTGATCCAGGATGAGTTTTTAATGAATAAACCGTCACACTGCAGAGCTGTTTTTCTATGGTGCGTTTGTACCGTTTGTACAGATTAACTCCTGCTTCCTGCTCCTGTCCGTCTCGTCTCTGCAGCTTTCACACTTTTCTCCGGGTTATTTGTCTTTGAAATGTCACGAGATCCTGGTTACTGTAAAACCTGATTTCCCAGGTAGATTTCTTCTGTAGAAATCACAGGTGATCTGATTTGTACAGGTATGCTTGTGCGGGAGAAACAAACGGAAATACTTTTTTTAAAGAGTTGTTTTTTACGATGCATTTCACACTTTAAAAAGTACAGAATTAAAATCCCACGATTGTTACCACTGTTTGAAATAAAACAATTTATCCTGTGTATTTCAACGGACACTAATTCATCACAAATGATCTTGAATGACTTGTTTCGTCAGTCAGAAACCCCCAAAGATATTCACTGTTATGATATAAAACAGAAAAGCAGGACATTTCTATTTAAAAGCACGAAAAAAAGCATTTCCTGACAGTTTGGCATCAAATATGTGATTATTTTATTTGTTAATCAACCTTTTTACGGCTGCCGACCGGTGCAAACGTGCTGCAGCTTCAGAAAGGATGCAGATGTAGAAACCCAAATGTTCCACATGAAGAAACAGCGTCAGGCGTCAGCAACTTAACACATGCAGCATTTAGAGAACATTCAGCAGCTTGAGGAGACATGCGCAGCGTTTACTACAAGCTGCAGAAACCAAACGCTGCAAGAAGCTGAACAACTGTCTCTGTCTCAGAGTTAGTCGTCTTATAACTGTTAGTGTTTGTCAGTATATCTGAACTGACTAGGTTAGCTACGTTAGCTTACAGCAGATCTGCAGTAACACCAGGAGTCATGTGATCACATTAACATTTTTAAAATAAGCCCATTAAACATTTTAGGTACGTTTCCATCAAACCGTCTGTCATGTTAAAATTGTTTAATTGAAGTCCATTGATTGGATTTGTCTGTCGTCTTTAAGAGGGAAAGTTTTTACGTGGACCTTTATTTTTATTTGAGTTTCAGGTGTGACTTCAAAGCTGCAGATTTGTTGGGAAATCAAAACCATGTGACAGCTGAACAAAAGATCCTCCTGTTATCTCTTTTTCTCTGGTTGTCTTATGGATGTTAGATTTGTGTCTCTGTTGATGTTTGAAGGTCATTTTAATTATTTCTAAAACAAAGGGCTTCAATCTGAATGTAACCGTCGTTTAATACGAAGTCCTCCAGAAACCTTTGAGTAAATATTAAATATAAATAATGTATTTCTTAAAGCCGGTCTTCTGTTGTCTTTTTGCACCTTTATTTATTATCAACCCTATTTTGAAAGTAGTGATATTTTGTTAAGAAACATCATCAAATGCTTAATCAAGTCAAAACTGTCAAGAAGATTTACTACGTTCACACAGAAAGAATATGTATAAGATGTAATGCCTTGGATAATTATAAAAACATGAGTTTACTCTGCGATGGTCGTCTAATCCAAAATAAAAACAAAACACCATTTTTTTTTAACCATTTTTAAATTATTATTATTATTGATAACGTGTGCATAGACATTTTTAAGGGGCGGACTGGCCATCTGTAGAATTTCCCCGCAGCGAGGCTCCCCCCGTTGACAATCCACTAGCGCACATTTATCTCTCTTGATGATATTTAAAATAGAAATGGAGATGATCATGAGCCTGAAGACACACTGTGAGTGACAGGTGATCACAGCGAGCGCTATTCAGATTATAATGGAGGATAATAGCAGTAATCATGGAGGTCACTTTAAAGGGATATTAATCCTACATCACACTCGCATGATAATGCTCGGGGTCAGACCGGGGCTACGGTTTCAGTCTGCAGCTAAAAAAGTTTGAAATTTGACAAATGATATGGTTTACTTTATTTTTAACCAGTTTGCAGCAAATGTAATGAACTTTAGTAAGTAAAAAGTAAATGTTGGGCTATAAAGGAACTACAGTACGGTCACATGACTTCACGTCACCACCGCTAAGCTAAAGGAGGCTAATGTTGGGTTATAAAGGAACTACAGCACGGTCACATGACTTCACGTCACCACCGCTAAGCTAAAGGTGGCTAATGTTGGGCTATAAAGGAACTACAGCACGGTCACATGACTTCACGTCTCCACCGCTAAGCTAAAGGTGGCTAATGTTGGGCTATAAAGGAACTACAGCACGGTCACATGACTTCACGTCACCACCGCTAAGCTAAAGGTGGCTAATGTTGGGCTATAAAGGAACTACAGCACGGTCACATGACTTCACGTCACCACCGCTAAGCTAAAGGTGGCTAATGTTGGGCTATAAAGGAAATACAGCACGGTCACATGACTTCACGTCACCACCGCTAAGCTAAAGGAGGCTAATGTTGGGCTATAAAGGAACTACAGCACGGTCACATGACTTCACGTCACCACCGCTAAGCTAAAGGCGGCTAATGTTGGGCTATAAAGGAACTACAGCATGGTCACATGACTTCACGTCGCCACCGCTAAGCTAAAGGTGGCTAATGTTGGGCTATAAAGGAACTACAGCATGGTCACATGACTTCACGTCGCCACCGCTAAGCTAAAGGTGGCTAATGTTGGGCTATAAAGGAACTACAGCATGGTCACATGACTTCACGTCGCCACCGCTAAGCTAAAGGTGGCTAATGTTGGGCGTGATGAGGTTTAGTCGTCTTGTTTAGACACTTGTTAGCTACCACTGTTTTTAATTTCACCAGTGGGGTATTTACTGAATTATTTTACGTGGTAGAATATAAATCTCTTCAGCTTGTGTTAACCACAGACCTTCTAACAACCTAACTAACTTTCAGAAAACCATTGACTTCCAGACGAGGAAACACGTGCTAAATTACTGAATAGATTTCAAAATAGTTTCTTGGACATTTTCTGTCAATCTAAACTCAACCTATCTTTCCAGCTCTAATGTCACTCCTGCAGTATAATAGGAGCCTCTCCTCTGGGTCATTCTCTGCCTCCTGGACGTCAGATTATTTTAATTTTAACTCGCATTCAGAAACTGTCTTTCTATTTTCAGAGGCTTCACAAGAGAGATAATGACTCCGGTTTCAATATTCAACCACAAGAGTTGATGCTCACAGCTCAGTGGGCTGTCAGTCAGTATAATAACTCTCCTGTGTCAATCTCAAAAGCCACACACACACACACACACACACACACACACACACACACACACACACACACACACACACACACACACACACACACAGGAAAGTGGAAATCATTATATAGTTTCCTCTCATTAGTCAAACAGGGCAACAAACCTCCGACAAGTTATATTCTTGTTTTGTTTAACTATATGTTCTAAGTAGAGACACTACATGCTGATATACACCTGAACATCAGCAGGAGAGGACTCTTTAAAGTAGAGACACTACATACTGATATACACCTGAACATCAGCAGGAGAGGACTCTTTAAAGTAGAGACACTACATACTGATATACACCTGAACATCAGCAGGAGAGGACTCTTTAAAGTAGAGACACTACATACTGATATACACCTGAACATCAGCAGGAGAGGACTCTTTAAAGTAGAGACACTACATACTGATATACACCTGAACATCAGCAGGAGAGGACTCTTTAAAGTAGAGACTCTATATACTGATATACACCTGAACATCAGCAGGAGAGGACTCTTTAAAGTAGAGACACTACATACTGATATACACCTGAACATCAGCAGGAGAGGACTCTTTAAAGTAGAGACACTACATACTGATATACACCTGAACATCAGCAGGAGAGGACTCTTTAAAGTAGAGACACTACATACTGATATACACCTGAACATCAGCAGGAGAGGACTCTTTAAAGTAGAGACACTACATACTGATATACACCTGAACATCAGCAGGAGAGGACTCTTTAAAGTAGAGACTCTATATACTGATATACACCTGAACATCAGCAGGAGAGGACTCTTTAAAGTAGAGACACTACATACTGATATACACCTGAACATCAGCAGGAGAGGACTCTTTAAAGTAGAGACACTACATACTGATATACACCTGAACATCAGCAGGAGAGGACTCTTTAAAGTAGAGACACTACATACTGATATACACCTGAACATCATCAGGAGAGGACTCTTTAAAGTAGAGACACCACATACTGATATACACCTGAACATCAGTAGGAGAGGACTCTTTAAAGTAGAGACTCTACATACTGATATACACCTGAACATCAGCAGGAGAGGACTCTTTAAAGTAGAGACACTACATACTGATATACACCTGAACATCAGCAGGAGAGGACTCTTTAAAGTAGAGACACTACATACTGATATACACCTGAACATCAGCAGGAGCAACCCTGTCTCCTAGAAATTACGTTCCCACAAAACTAAACTGCATTCTCAAATACGTTTTGCAAGAAACGTATTTCCTTCCACGTTACGTTTGTTATGAACATATCTTAAATACGTTTATTTTCTACATATCTTCTAGAAACCTATTTTCTCTCACATGACGTTTGTTATGAACGTATCTTAAATACGTTTGCTTTCTACCTATATTTGCCATTTCTTTTCTAGCTTATAATAATGATAATAGTCATTTATTAATATCATTTTAGAGCAAACTTATTTTCGCGCTGGCTGGCGGCTGACTTTTCAGTTGACCAAATCCGTTATTATGCTGGTTAATGGTTAATAATCACAATATTGTTTGTAGTCGTTTCATACAGCATTCTCAATTACGTTTAACAAGAAACGTCTTTTGTCCCACGTTACGTTTGTTCTGAACATATCTTAAATACGTTTGCTTTCTACCTATCTTTGACATTTCTTTTCTAGCTTATAATAATGATAATAGTAATTTATTAATATCATTTTAGAGCACACATTTGAAATCGACGATCGGGCTTGATATCCTATGGTTAAATTAAAATCAGTAGGCGAGGCTGTAATTTCGCCAGCTGCGAGGCAGAGTTTTAACATGCCAAAAAGCTGCTGTGTCGTTTATTGCACCTCAAACACCTCAAACTTCCTCTAAGGACAGCAGAAGAGCTCTGTGGCTTCAGGCTTGATCGCCGTTCAAATGACAGCGTTGGTTTCCCCAAAAGTGGGTGGGGCTGTGACGTAGATTTTACTCTCATCTATTATTCAAAACCATTCTATTTAATCCAAACGTAAATTACATGCCAGTGTTTTATCTTTTTATTAAGCGATTTGTTTATGTTGTTTAACTCATAGATATATATAAACATAGGTTTTTATATATATATCTATGGTTTAACTGAGAATGTTTTCACATTGAACCGGAAGTACGTCACTTCACTTTGTCTTCTTCGTCCCTTTTAC